TGGTTAGAAATCAGTTACAAAATATTAATCCATTAGTACATTAACATTAGTACAGGAATAGACTATTCACAGAAGAAGAAAAAAATGAATGTCAAGAGAACATAGGTAAAGCTTCTCAATCTCCCTAGTAATCGGGAAATACAAAATAAATTAGCAAAGAAATACCATTTCACAACCATTAGATTATAAGAATATGTTTAAGTATTTAAACAAACTATAAAACCATTAGAAGAAAACATAGGGGAAATGCTTCAGGACATTGACCTAGGCAAAGATTTTATGGTTAAGACTTGAAAAGCTTAAGCAACAAAAATAAAAATAGACAAATGGGACTAATCTCAAATTAAACACCTTCTGCACTACTAAGGAAAAATCAACAGAATCAACAACCTACGGAATGGGAGTAAATATTTGCAAAGTATTCATCTGACAAGGCACTAATGAATATATGAGGAACTTAATTCAACAGCAGAAAAAAAAATCTGATTTTAAAATGATCAAAGAATAGATATTTTCAAAAGAAGACATAATAAATTGGCCAATAAGTATATGAAAAAATGCTCATCACGAATATTTAGGGAAATGCAAATAAAAACCATAACAAGATATCTTACCCCAGTGGGAATGGCTATTATCAAAAAGATAAAAAGTAAAAAATGCTGGTAAAGATGCAGAAAAGAAGCAACTTTCACACACTTTCAGTGGTAAATGTAAATTAGTACAGCCGTCATAATGGAGTATGGAGGTTTCTCAAAAAACTAAAAATAAAACTAACTTACTATCCAGCAATCTCATTACTGGGTATTTATCCAAAGCAAAGAAGATCAGTATATTGAAGGGACATCTGCACCCCCATATTTATTGCAGCACTATTCACAATCGCCAAGATACGGAATTGATCTTAATGTTTACCAACAGATGAATGGATAAAGAAAATGTGGTATATACATACACTGGAATACTATTCGGCTTTAAAAAGAATAAAAGCTTGTCATTTGTGGCAACAGGGATGATCCTAGAGGACACTATGTTAAGTGAAGTAAGTCAGGCACAGAAAGGCACTCACATGTGGAAACTAAACACAAATTGAGCTCATGGAAGTAGAGTAGAATTGTGGTTATTAGAGGCTGGGAAGGGTAAGAGGAAGAGGAGGATAGGAGAGGTTAAAAATGGAAAAAAGTCACAGGTAGATAGGAGTTTTAGTGTTCTATAGCACTGTAGGTGAATATAGTTAACAATTTACTGTGTATTTTCAAAAAGCTAGAAGATTTTAAATGTTAACACAAATAATAAATAAGGTGATAGATATATTAAGCTGATTTAACATTACATACTAAATACATGTATTGAAATATCACCCTGTATGTTATAAATATGTATAATTATGTGCCAACTAAAAATAAAAGAAAAAATAAAAACAAACAAAAATTTCTATTATTCTCATGCACTAGGAAGTCAAGGTAAACTTCTGTGGAACATGAGTCCTCTGACCCCACTCTCAATGGAAGTGGATTCTCTGTCTGAGGTGATACAATGTGGGTGGAGAGACAGAGAGAGGCAGACAGCAATGATAAGTTGTACAGGACAAAAAAGACATACATAGCTGCTAATTGAGAGGGCAGCCATTGAAGTGAGAGCAGTAGCTGAGCTTAGAGTGACTTTAGTGCAAGCCCACAGGTGAGCCGCAATCCAAAGAACTCAGCAAAAGTAGGACAGTACCGAAATTTTCAGGAGTTAGAAATTCAGGATTAAAGCCAAGGGTAGACATTGGAGGATGACAGTGGTTGGGTGACAAATCCCTCCCTCACTGTTCTTATTTTTACTAATATCACAGTCGTCTATGATGAGGTTGAACCCGTAGTCATTTTTCATCCTCCCTTTCTCACTTGGCCCACATACCTAGGTATGTTAATTTTACCTCCATAATTTGTCTTGTTGCATTTCCCACCTGTTCATACCCCTGCTTATTACTCTGGATCAGTCCCTCCTTACCTGTTATGGACATGAGTGTTTTAACTGACCTCCACTCAGCTTGCCCTGCACTAGTCCATCTTTGACATACTGCCAGGTCTATTTGTACTATTTGGACTCAGTGACTCTCAAGGCCTGAAGAAGAAACTTCCAATGCATTCAGTGATCTCTAATGGACAGCTAGCTAACTCTATTTATTTCTTCTCCGTCTTTATTTTTTTATGAAATGGAGTCTTGCTCTGTCACCCAGGCTGGAGTCCAGTGGCATGATCTCAGCTCACTGCAACCTCTGCCTCCTGGGTTCAAGTGATTCTCCTGTCTCAGCCTCCCAAGTAGCTGGGATTACAGGCATGTGCCACCACGCCCAGCTAACTTCTGTATTTTCAGTAGAGACAGGGTTTTGCCATGTTGGCCAGGCTGTTCTCGAACTCCTGACCTCAGGTGATCAACCTGCCTCCACCTCCCAAAGTGTTGGGATTACAGGTGTGAGCCACCATGCCTGGCCACCACTACTCTTCTTTTTTTTTTTTTTTTTTTTTTTTTTTGAGGCGGATTCTTACTCTGTTGCCCAGGCTGAAGTGCAGTGGCACAATCTCGGCTCACTGCAACCTCTGCCTCCTGGGTTCAAGTGATTCTCCTGCCTTAGCCTCCAGAGTAGCTGGGACTGCAGGCGCGTGCCACCACGCCAGGCTAATTTTTTGTATTTTTAGTAGAGACGGGGTTTACCACATTTGCCAGGATGGTCTCGATCTCCTGACCTCATGATCTGCCCACCTCAGCCTCCCAAAGTGCTAGGATTACAGGTGTGAGCCACCGTGCCCGTCCCACTACTCTTTATGGATGTTTTGTTCTGGCTAAATATTCATTTTTCTCTTTGTCCACATCCCTCTTTTCCCATTTTGTTTCCTCTTTCTGGAAGGTCCCTTGAACACAAGACATAGTTCCAAATTTTACTGGTCCTTCAAGACCCTTCTCAAATACTATTTCATCCCTGTATCTTTCCCCTGTGTCCCCAACTATTTGTCATTAGCTCCTCCTCCAGCTGCTTTTATTTATAATTCACTTGTATCAGTTTTTATTTACATGAAAATGAGTCCTTGTAAAATTTCCAAACAATATAGAAATATATAGAGAAAAACACAGAGATTCCTGCTTATTCTTCTCTTCAGTCACTGCAACTCCTCTCCCTAGAGTAACTAAAGCTCTTGGCTTGGGTTGCCCCCTCCAGCTCCTAGATACGTAACTGTTTCTTACATAAATGGAATCTTTCTCACGTGTGTGCTCCCTCACTCTGTATGTATGTGTCTGTGGGAATAACTTGCTTTTGTAATTTAATGAAATGTCTTGGACAGCTTTCCAAGTCAAAGCATTTTTTTGACTTGGAAAGTTTAATGAAATGTCTTGAACAACTTTCCAAGTCAAAACATTTTTTTGACTTGGACAACATTTCCAAGTCAAAACTTAAGAATAAAACTTCATTCTTATTAATAGCATCATAATGTTTCATAGTATGAATATGCCGTAAGTTATTTTACCACTCTCTGACTGATGCAGTTTTAGGCTGCAGTTATAATCCCCATATCTAACTTTGTGTTTACATGTAACTATTTCTGTAAGACAGATTCCTAAGATTTAAGGTGCTATTTTAAAGACTAAGAAACTGTCAAATTGCCTTCCAAGAAGCTTTCACCAATTTATAGTACCAACAATGATACATGATGATAGTCATATTTTCGGGCATCCAAAGCTAGCACAATATCAATCTTGTAAATTTTGATAAAATAGGTAGGTTAAAAAAAGCTTGTTGCTATTTTACATTGCAGTTTCTTGATTACTAGTGAGATTTCACATTCTTCATGTTTATTACCTATCTGTGTATTGTCATCCATGAATTTCACATTCCTATCACTTACCTACTTGTCTACGGTTTATATCTTTTCTTATTGATTTATGGAAGATATACAGTAGTGTCCTCTTATCCAAGGTGTTGCTTTCCACAGTTTCAGTTATCAACTGTGGTCCAAAAATAATAAATGAAAAATCCCATAAATAAGCAATTTGTAAGTTTTAAACTGCCCACCTGGGACAGGAATTATCTCTCTTTGTCCAATGTATCCACATTGTAGACTCTACCCATTGTTGCCCTCTGAGTTATCAAATCAACTGTTGTGGTACTGCAGTACTTGTTTAGGTAACCCTTATTTTACTTAATAATTGCCCCAAAGAGCAACAGTAGTGATACTGGCATACTGTTATAATTGTTCTACTTTATTATTAGTTATTTTATTAGTTATTAGTTATTGTTATTATTAGTTATCTTACTGTGCCTAATTTATAAACTTTTTTCTGTATAAATGTATATTTTATTTAAAAACAGGGATATTGAAATGTATTTATGTGTTACAGCCCTTACAGAAAGATGACAAGTTTTATAGTCCTTTTATTTGAAATTCAGTGTAAATCAACCTTAAACTATAAATTCATAGTTGTTGGAGGTTTTTTTTTTTTTTTTTTTTTTTGTTTAAATGATGTGAAAACATTTGTTCCTTTCAAAGGCTTCCATGCCTTTGCACGACATATTCTCAGTAACTTATTTGCTGGTAACTAGAGTATGTGAGACTGAGTGACTACAATATGCATATTTCAAGAATTAGCTTCCCACTGCATTCTAATACATTTCCTAGGAAAGCTGTTGTATCGTTCAGAGCCTTTTCACATGTCCCTCGTTTCAGCAGTCACAGTGTTGCAGTTTTACTCTGTTTCCGAGGGGAAGGCCACCTTGTTGGCATAAGGAGGGCAGAAGATATAGTCTCCACTCTGGCCTCTTCCCTACAACCTAAAAGGGAGAGGCGTTGAGGCAGATGGGCTGGGACTAGACTTTTTGGTAGTCACATTCTAGCAGATTGGGTAAGAAAGGTGGGTTAGGTTTTTTCAAACTTCAAACTAATAGGACAATGAGGCAAAAGCAATAACCATACTATAATGTTCAAACAGAAGTAGGTTAAAATGTAGTACAGTTATCCCTTGGTTTACATGGGGGATTCCTTCCAGGACCTTCCACATATACCCAAATCCACACACAACTCAAGTCCTGCAGTCGGTCCTCTGGAAACTGAGTATATGAAAAGTCAGCCTGCTCTATAAGTGGGTTTTGTGTTTGGTTAATGATATATTTTTGATTCGTTTATGGTTCCCTCTCACAGTTCAAACCCATGTTGTTCAAGGGTCAAATGTATTTACTGCTGGATTATGGGATAATGAGTAAATTATTTTTACTTGGCTACTTAAAACTTTCCTATATTTTCTAAATTTTCTTCAAAGAGCTTTGTTTGCTTGTTTTTAATCAGAAAAACATTCCTTGCACGCCAGTTGTTAGAGAGATGCAAGAGAACAGGGTGAGTACAAGGGCAGGCCAGATCTGGCAGGCTGAAGACAAATGGGAACCAAGGCTCATTACGAAAGCCAGAGAGGGAAAACGAAGTTCAGTGAAGCACTAGGCCTCCCCGGCGTATGGCTGTGAAGTATGCGTCACATATACTGGTTCTCCTTCTGTAGACTGATGGTTTAGGTCAGGTAACAAGAATCCGGCTTTGCTTTTTGCTCCATGTCAGTCCTCATGACGTTGATGCATGGCATTAATGCATTTTCACCATGACTTCTTCATACTGTTTTTGTGTCAGTAACCCTTCTGTTATGTTTTTACTTTCTTCAAATTTGGGTAACTCAACTGCAATGTAGCCTTCAGTGGATGGCTTTTCTTGAAGAATAGATGGCTTATGGAGAATGTTTTCAATCACTTCCATCGAACATCCTCTAACACAACTAGATACAGTATATGCTTCACCATCTGAACAGTAAATCTTACAGAGCGGTGCAAGTTCTGTTAGAAACTGTGCCCCCCGCTTACATTTCCCAGAGACCTTGTTCTGAAGTCTGCTACAGTTGGTACTGATCTGACAGGGAATGCTTTTCATTGTTTTTCCACTTTGAAGAACTGGATGAGATTCTGTCAATGTGGTAACACATATTCGGTTAGAGTGCTGTGGTATACAGTGGTCCTCACAAGATTTTCCTTTGACATCTGCTTTGTACCAGTGAATGAAGTATCGATCCACACACAAAGGTACCACTGGCCCTGCGGTTTTGTGCTTGGTAGCCATGGTGACCTCAGGCGCCACCACCCCTATAAATTAAACTTTATCATAGATATGCATGTATAGAAAAGCACAATGTATATAAGGTTCAGTGCTACCCATGGTTTCGGGCATCCACTGGAGGTCTTGGAATGCATCTCCCAAGGATAAGGGATGACTACTCTCTCTTTATATATATGTGTGTGTGTGTATATATATATATATATATAGTAATAATATATATATATTATTCAACTATTTTAAGCATTGCAATATCTTCTTCCAGTTAATGGCTTGTCTTTTAATTTCCTTGATAGTATCTTATATTTACGTAAATATTACACTTTTGTCAAATTTATAAAACTTTGCTTTACTGTTTATATTTTTTGCATTGCGTTTAAGATATGTCTGCCTACCATGAAGTCATAGAGAGCCTTCTACACTTGCTTGTAAAAGCTTTAAAGTTTTGCTTTTCATATTTAAATCTTTAATCAAAATGGAAATGATTTTTTTGTGTGTCTGATGGTGCCATATATATAGCAGGAATCTGATTTTATTGTTTTTTCCTTGGGGATGACCAAATGTCTCAGCATCATTTATTCAAAAGTCTATTCTTTCACTACTGATCCACAGGGCTATTCTGTCAAATGTCAAGTTTTCCTACAGGCATCAGAACAAAATAACTGGGTTGTTTTCTCTTCCATTGATTGATTTGCCTTACCTTGAACTTAATACCAACCTTTATTGCCTTCTCTAACTTTGTAGTAAGTCTTGATGTCTGGTGGGCAAGCCTCTTATGTTAGGCTTCTTTTTCAGGTTTCTTTTGGCTATTTTGGAGCCTCTGCTTTTCCACATACATTTTAGAATAAGCTTATCAAGTTCCTGAGAACATTCTATTGGCATCTTCACCAGAATTGCATTGAATTTATAGCTCTATTTGGGAATAACATGTGTTTTTAGTACTGAATCTTATTATCCCTAAGTATCTATATCTCTTCCATTTAATTCAGCCTTCACTATTTTATAAAGATTTAGCTTTTTTCCAATAATGTTTCACACATTTTTCACTTAATATATTTATACATTAGGTTTGTTTCTTCCTATCATAAAAAGTATCTTTTAAAAATTATATTTCTAACTGTTTGATGTCTGGTTTTAGTTATATTTCTTAAACCCCACATTTGTTATTAGGATTTCATAGAGATCATGTTTGTTTACCTACATATTTTCCAACTGCTTTTCTCACCATTCCTTCTTGCCTCTCAGAACTTGCTTCCGGAATCATTTTTCTTTTGTCGATGTACACCCTTTGCAACTTCCTTTGGTGAAAATTTATTGGGAGCAAATTCTGTTTTGGTTTATATAAAAATACCATGTTTTCTCTTGTTCTTGAAAGCTTTGCTGGGCAAAATAATATTTTTTTCCAGTCACTGGTCCACTGTTGCTGGCAGTTGATTTGTTGTTTTTTGTAAGTGATTTTTTTTTTTTCTGGCTGATTTTAGGTTCTTATCTTTGTTTTTGGGGTTCTTCAGTTTTGCCACAAGGTATTTTACTTAGCTTTTATAGAGCTCCTGATGATGTCTGTGAATTCACATCTTTTACTTCTAAGAATCCGTAGCCAATATCTCATTGAATAATGACTCCCACCATTCTCTCTGTTCTCACTTTCTGGGTCTGTAAGTGTATGTTAAATCTTGTCCTTTTTTCTCCATTCTCTTTACCTCCTGTCTGCATATTTACTATAATTTCTTCAGATCTCTCTTCATGTGTGTATAATCTGCTGTTTAACTCACGCATTGAGTTAATGTTAACTATTATTTTTTAGTTTCTAGAATTTCATTTTACTTAACATTTCTTTCTCATGTTTTTCTGGTCACAGTTGCAATACTAATATCCTAGGTCCTTGGAAATTAGTATCTGTTTGATTGTTTTACTTTTTTCTTGGTGGCTTGTTTCCTCATATATTTGGAAATTTCTTTAAGCTGTGAGCTAATATTCATTTGAACATAATTTTCTGGAACGTTTACAGTCTAAATGGAGGGTGTTTCTCTCAAAAACATTTTTTTCTGCTGGGAGAGTTAGTTCACTGCTCTGGGACCATTAAGCCTCTTTTGGAGTCCACATTTAATTCAGGAATCTCAAATTCAGCTTCCCAAGTACCTTGTGGTGAATCCAAATCTCATGATCCCATATCTGTTTACCACACACCAGTTAGGTTATAATTCTTCAAAAAAATTACTGCCTTTGTGATTTTTCTTACTTTCTCATGTGCATTCACTAATATTGACATCTTAATACGTTAAAATCAAAACCTTCTGGGCCTAGTTCCTTTTTCATTGGTAGATTTTTAACCACTGTTCAATTTCTCCAATAGTTACTAGGCTGTTTAGGTTTCCTGCCTTTTATTGAGTCAATGTGTATAATTTATATATGCCTGGGAAGCCATTTTACTTAGGCATATAGCAAATATTTGTTAAATTAATAACCTAAGCACTGATGGCCAGTAATTCAATAAAAGTGGTCTTCTACCGTCTGAAGAAAATAAGCGACAAGCCTAAGTGGACTGTAAGGATGTGGGAGTTTAAGTCCCCTGGTCTTGAGATTAGGCAATGATTCCAACGCTGGTCATTGATACCATGAGGGAGGTTACTCCATGCATGCCTGCTCTATTCCTGGTCTCCATGACGTCACAGTGGAGTGAAACACCTCCCAGAATAGTGTGCCTGGAGCCAAATAATTTTTTTGGAAGAATCCACTTCTATGAATTCAGAAATTCATAGAAAAGATTTATGCAACCACCATATAGACAACTAACATTTCACACTGGAGTTAAGTAACAACTTGAGAATATCACACAATGGGGTTGGATTCAGACTACATTATTATACCTGAAGAACTGGGTGGAGCGATGTGAAGAATTGTGTGTATGGTTTTGTGTGTGTCATGGAGTACGTGTGCATGTTAGTGACACTGTCATCTAAGCCTGTAATGAAGAACGTTTTAAATGCTTAAAGATATATTTTGGTTAAAAGGGCTTCAGCATTTGCTCACCAGTTTAGTAACTTCTGAACTTCTACTGGGATCTTATCATAAAATTTATGTAGTTTATTTTGGACAATGAACAAAGAAATAATTTGAGTAAGTTGTTGTGGATTATTCAAAGAATTCTCTCTCCAAAAACAAGGATGAGTGAAATTATTCTCAAACTGAATTTTTGTCAGGTTAAGCTTCAAAATTCCATGTGGGAAAAAATTCAGTTCATTCCCATCAACGGTCAGTCTTTCAAGTGATCTATAAATAAAGGACACCATACTTTAAAAGGTATTACACAATTCATAATATTAAAGTAAAATTCTGCCTCAATCGTTCTTAAAAATTGGCATCAAACCTAGTACCAATAAAACACAAGTATGAATTTAAGTATTTCTTTAGAATCAATAGAATTAATTTCTAAAGCAACTGAACCAATATAGTATTATGCAAATAAGTGCATTTGAGCGAATAGCACAGTTTAAGTATATAGTTTGGATTTTTGCAATATGTCATCACTATGGAACAAAAAATATCCACAAATACAAGACTAATCAATGTCATATTACATAAAATATAGTATAGTATGAGCCACAGAATATATTTTCATAGACAAATTAAACATCAATATATATATATTTTTTCATTCAAGCCCAATCAAAATAGTGAAATTTATGCTATCAAAACATATTATGTGCTATTTTGTGCTTTAACTTTTCATTAACTGGGTCCTCTGGGTTTTTTCTGTGTCGATTACTTCTAATAACCCTTATTCTTTATTCAAACAGAGCCAACATTACTGATTTTCTTATTTTCATTTGCCTCAATGGTATTTTTGTACAGTCATGTATCTCCTTTCTAATTAGTCCTAGAAGCAGACAGAAAAGAGTCTATTCATGAGAGACCCATCAATATCAAATCGAAGGCTGGTCCAACTTGTCAAATGTATTAGAGGTGAAAAGGCTGATATATGAACTTTAGGAAACAAATTGCTGAGGGCCTCTAGATTCTCATTTACAGTCTAGTTTCACATCTTATATCCACACAGTGTAACTTATTTATGACTCCTGCTGATAACATTAAAATGTGATCAACAAGGGTATTTAAAACAATAAGGCTAGGAAGATGGCACCTCAGCTCTCTTCATCCCTCAACCAGAGTTTGACTAATTCACCTCTCATGGTCTGAAAAAGGTGAGCAAGATCCTGGACTCTGCCACAGTCCTGAGAGAGCTGGCATGGCCACCTTTTTCTTCTGCACAAATCACAAGCCTAGGGGCCAGCAGGAGAGAGTCCTACTATGGTCTGAATGTTTCTGTCCCCTCAAAATTTAAATGTTGAAATCTTCACCTTAAGTTGATGGTATTTGGAGGTGGGGCCTTTAGGAGGTGACTAGGTCAGGGTGGGAGCCCTCGTAAGTGAGATTAGTGCCCTTATAAAAGAGACTTGAGAGACCCCTCACCCCTTCTGTCATGTGAGGTTAGAGTGAGAAGATGGCTATCTATGAGGAAGGGGGCCGTCACCAGACACCACATCAGCTGGGGCCTTGATATTGGACTTCCCAGCCTGTGGGAAATAAATTTCTGGTTTTTGTAACTTCCCAGCCTATAGTATTTTGTTATGGTAGCCCAAGCTGAGAAATACAAACTCTAAGTGGACAATCACAATGAGTGTGGCACACCCTAGGCAAATGCTAGTGAAGCTTCACCACGGCTCACCAGAACAGCCATGGTGAGGCTCTCCCTGTCTGAGTTGGTCTACCTTGGAGGACATACCCGTTTAGCTGCCTCCTTCCCCTCAATGAGTTCTAAGAGAGTTAGGGGGAGGCTAAACTTTTTTTTTTCTGTTTTGTTTTGTTTTTGAGATGGAGTCTCAATCTGTTGCCCAGGCTGGAGTGAAGTGGCCTGATCTTGGCTCACTGCAACCTCTGCCCCCTGGGTTCAAGTGATTCTCTTGCCTCAGTCTCACAAGTAGCTGGGATTACAAGCGCCCGCTACTGCCATGCCTGGCTAATTTTCATATTTTTAGTAGAGACAGGGTTTCACCATGTTGGCCAGGCTGGTCTTGAACGCCTGACCTCAGATG